TTTCGATGCTTATTTTTTAAATCTATGATAGAACAAACCATACAAGTAACACACTTCTGAAATTTCTTTTACAAAGCCGAAAATAAAAAACTTGTAATAGAACAGTGATGAAGTTGGCCTAAGAAGAAAACAAAAAGAGCAGTTCTTGACCAAAAGCACAAAAAAGGGATATTAAATGATGATAAAGAGTTTGAGATGATTCAATGTGGGAAAATTGCTTCACTGTGAAATTGGAGTCAAAGTATTCCCTGGCAGCATCGAAAAGTAATTCTTTTGATGATTGATTTACGCGAAATGTTTCCACAAACATTTGTGACAAAATAATTCAATGCTGGTGTCCGATGGCCCAAATTTGCGCCAATAACATTGTTTTCCACTTGGAAATTTTGTGCTAATTAATCCAAACCAAAGTGCTACAGAACAGTACTTGATTCCCACCTTTTAACCTTTCCCAAGTGGAAGAAAAGTGTCACCATGATTGCCTTTCATTAAATTTTCTCACAAATGTCTAACCATCACTTTTAATTTTTGATAAATGCTAACCATGATCTTGATCTTTCTGCAAAAGCTAAAACGAATGCTTCCAAATATAAACCTTTCTAGAATGACTTAAATATTTTTAAAAAGACTAAATGAAAATAATAAATAATAACAATTTATTATACTTATATAATAACCTTTTATTTTTATATTTGAACAATGAAGACCCTTGATTTAATTTTTAATTTTTAATTTTTCTTTTTGCAAATTGAATCCTTCTGAATATTGACCCATTCCAGAAACAAAGGTCATCAAGAATCTTAAACCCCAAAATTTGACTTCTGCGCTGAGGTGCGGTTTTTTTTTTTTTTTTTTTTTTGGAAGAAACGTGTGCCATAGAGCAACAACTGAAATTGTTATGCATATCCAAGAGGGCGTGCTGATAGCTGGATAGTAATACAAGTCGTTATTTAAAACAAGGTCAACTAGTTGACTTTTTAAAAATAAACAAGTAATGATAATAACGACACAAACAGGAAAAAAAAGATAAGTTATATATAATTATGTACTGATGGCAAGCTTCCTGGGTAACACAGTAAACCCTAATTACCTTAGTATATTAAAATTTAGGTTTATGTACAATTTTCACTGTTCTGTTTGAGAAGGATCATTAACCTCTTTAAATTGCACTATTTGAAGTATTTCTTCAATAAAATGGAAGTAACTTTTTTTCTTTTTGTATTTCTCAAATATTTTAAAACTAACTTATGTTGAAGCGTAAAAGTTATTAAATAAATTTTACTAATAAAGTTTCGCATCAATATGTTAGTAATATATTATATAATTAATATGCTTTGATGACTAATAAAATTTTGCATAAGTTAGCAATATATTATATGATATCTAAGTAAGAGAATTTTGAATCTAAATTGTTTAATATATTTTAAATGAATAAATTACTCAAATTTAAAGTTAATTTTTCAATGAAGGTGTCCAAAATTCAAATAAAAATTAAAATTTTAAGTCATAATATATATAAAAAATAAATATATAATATTTCCAAAAAAAATTTGAACTAGAGACTGAAACATAAAATACATGCTAAATTGTCTAATACATTTTAAGGGTATATTTGGATAATTATTTATTTAAAAAATTATTCAATAAATCCTTTTTAAAATAAGACGTATCTCTTAAATTTAATAAATAAATTTATTTATATATGTTATATTAAAAAATTTATCAGAATAAACTGAAAACAATTTATAAAAGTCATAAGTTATTTATAAATTCTTTTAAGCAAAACTTAAATCAACAAATCACTCAAACTTAAAACTCACACTTCTGTAATCTTAGATTGACCCATTTTTAAATCCTAATACTAAGCATCCTCAATCCCTTCTACTTGCAGTATCGTTTAGTGGTAAAAGATATAAGTTAATTTAACATTATTAACTCTTTATACATACCTTTTTAAAATTGTTAATTTTGATATACTTTTTTAATGTGAACAAATTTATAATATAAAAATTACTCTAAATATATCATTTAAAGTAATCATTATAACAAAAATTATTTTATATTAATTTATAATCATATAATAGTATTTTTAATTTTTAATACATTTTAATTAAATTTCTATATTTATTTATTTCAAGGACGCACAATTTAAAAAGGAGGAGCGGGGTTGTATTTCTTAGCATTTTCAAAAGTTTGTAAATGAGCTTTTGGTTTATGATGATTTTTAATTCTTATATTTAATAAGAATGATATAAAATTATTCATCTGAATTAAAATAAAAAAAAAAACTATTTTTTAAGACGAGAGAAGATTAAATAGACTTTTGGAAATCTGTCTCATCCCAAATTTTGGTTTCACTTAACTTAGCATGTTTTTAGATTAGCTGAAAAAAGAGCATTGTCTTAATTATCATAATAATTAACTATATTAATAAACTTTGTGTTTGAATGTTTTATCTAAAATGAAATTTTAGCTTTAAGAGAGAGACATAATAAAATTATGGTGTCTCTCTAGAATGCAACTTTTTATTTTTGTTTTCATTTTTCTCCTTTTTAGCACGAATTTTTATTTTAATGTTTATTTTCTAAAGAAAATTTTATTAAATTAATGTTTGTATTGATTAAATTCTTAAAATAATTTTATTTATACAAACATATATATTTTTTCCTTTTATTATGTATTTAAAAGTAAGTTCTATATTTGATTTTTTTTTTCATATTTAAAAAATATTGTAATTTTTAGTCAATTTTTTATTTTTTAAAATAGTTTTTCAGAAATTTTATATTAATTAAAGTAAATGAACTTGAAAAACACATGTTTGATGAGTGTTAATCAATCACAGTTAAAAAGAAAGAAAATTCATAATGTTTTCACCCGAAAAATTAATCCTTTTAAATTTTTTTTTCATTAACTATCGTCAAGTCTCAAATGACAAATGTTAAATACATTAACATAAGAACTAAATAATATATTTAATAGTATTATTTTTATAAAAAAGTACTGTTGAATTTCTTACTATACCATTTAATTATTTCCAAACTCATATAGTCTTCAGCTTTTTCTATGTGTACGGAGTCTCAACCTTTTTCTATCTCTACATAAATTTTCAACTTTTTAACTTCTTAAAATTAAGTAGTTATTGAGAAAATAAAATTATTATAATTTAAAAAACTTTAATAATAATTATATAAGAATAAATTTAAAAAATAATGTATTATTAAAATCGTAAAATGAGAAATAATTTTAAAAAATAAAAATTATTAAAGTGACTATTATTTTAAACCAGAAAATACTATTTTAAAAAATTAAATATTTTATATTAAAGTGTAATAATGCGCTACACTTTAAAATCTCTCTCTCCCTCTGCACCATTTGAATCGATCCTTCGAGAGAGTTCACATCCTTTCAATTAAATGCTAACAAAATGTTCATGAAAAATATGCTAATAAAAACGTATTTAATTCAATTAATGCCTAAGATTTATGATTTTCCGCCACTTGATGGGATTCCTTCCAACCGTCTAGATAGAATATGAAAAATCATCCACTCTCTCTCTCTCTCTTTGAAACACTCGTATATGAACAGGCAAATGCTAATACTTTTAAGGCATAATAAATACTTTCGTAATTTTTAATACAATTTAACACAAATTTTAATAAAAAAATTTTATTTTCAATTTTTTTAACAAATATTCTGAATGCATTGGTCAGTAAAATCTACCTGAATAATGAATATATTTGTTGATAAGATCAACACAAACATTTTATCGTCTCAAAATATTAATTATTTAATAATAACACCTATACTTATTGGAAATTTATTTAAATATATTTAAACAGATTTACAATTAGCATTGCATTTTAACTTTTTAGGCAAGGATATTAGTTCAAATATTTTATAATATAAATTTGTGAATATAATTTTTTAGAAAAAGTATAGTATTTAAAAAATAATAATACAAGATAGTGATGGATGGAGTAATAAAATTGAAAATTCAAAATTTGAAAGGCAGAGAGAGAGCATAGTGGACCTCTGTGGGGTTGGGTTTGTCTTGTAGTCTTGCATGATAGAATTAGAATTAGTCAATGACTAATTTATATAAACACAAACAAGCTAGCAGCCAAAGTTGATAGTGAAAAAACTTTGATATTCCTGAAGCATAACCTCAGATAAAAAAAACTGAATCCGAAAAAACAGTTCCCTGTTTGTATCTTTTTGTTTCAAGTTTCAACCTTGAAATGGAACAAAGGTTTGGAGCAACACTTGAATTAAATATGTGCCCTTGGATGCATATCAACAAACACCAGACCCTTACCAAACGTGGAAGTCATGCACCCACCCACTGACACCTTCTCTATCTGCACGATAGTTTGTCTTTCTCCATCACCTAACTTATTCAATGCCATCATCCGAACACCAACAATCCTATTTTCCATAATGAATAAATGGAAAATCAAAATACTCTGTGCTCTCACTCATTCCTAAGAGATCTCAGTGATTCAGTTTAATTCAGATTTCAGACACCGAAATGGTCCACATACCCACCTTCTTGCTTCCCTCCAAATTCTCTCCATGCACACCTCATTTTCCCTTTCTGCTCCATTTGCTTCTTCTTAGACACATACAAGGTTCACATAAAAAGACACCAAGTTGGAATTACCATCCAAAATTCAAAATTGATTAGATCATCATTGAGGGTAAAGAACGGGAGAGGCTTGTAGAATTTTATTTGCATCTGTTTGATTAATTCCTGAATGATTTTGAAATTTCAATCAGAAGCCACAATTTTTCTTTTCATAATTCCAAATATCAGAACGTGATTCAGAAATTAAGAATGTAACCCCAATTCAAAATCCCATCAGTTATAGTGACAGGCCAATTTGATTATTCAGAATTCAGTGACTCAAAAGAAAGGAAGGGGACCAAAATTTGGCCCTACTCACCGTCAATTCCTTCTTTTCTGAAAGAGAAGAGTATACCAATTATTCTAACGCGTGAAAAATTCTTCAAGAAAAGAAAAGGAAGAAAAAGAAAAGAAGAGAAAAGAAAAGCATCTCCTTTTTCCATTGCGATTCCTACCGATATAGAAAAGTAAGTACAATTGGAAGAAGCAACATTCTATTGTCCTCGTCATCACTTACCTAAGGTGTTCTCTTTTTTTTTTTTTTTTCCTTCATATTTTTCATAAAAAAGAAACTGTAAAAAGAGGCTAAAAACTAGGAATTTACATGACCAAATGATGAAAAAAACTTGAAGGGGGTGGTGAAATATTGACCAAGATCATTTTTTTATTTGATGGTTTTGATCAGAATTCAAAATCCAAAGCACCCAACATGGTGGTGATGGTGGTGATGAAGGGACTTGTCCCTATCAATCAAGCCCCTAACGTTTCTGAATTCTTCAACATGGCAAGGGATTGTTATGGTTCCTTTCTGATCAAATCCATATTCTTCTTCAGCCTCCTTCAACAACTGCATGAAGAGAGGGTGATTGATGTATATGACAGGAACAACGAATCTTTGTTGCTCCTCTCCTTGACCCACCTTGATGGCCATGCACCCTTTTGGAACATCTCTGAACTCTTGCTTATGGTGGTTATTGTAGCGATGAAAGCTCCTTGGACTCTTCTCCCCTATACCCATTTTCTGCAAGACCCGAAACAAAGACAAGGAAACCAAAAAGACCCCAACTTTGAAGAAACAACAACTCACAGGAAAACGAGGATGAAACACGACCAAGGTTCTGAACCTGTTTTTGCTTTGTTGAAGCTTTTCTTAAAAGAGCGTCTCAGAGACCTCGAATCGTTGGACATGGTTGATATACAACAAATGAGAAACGCATACTTGGCCAAAGACTTAACTGATATATAAAACAAACAAAGTAGAAAGAGAGAGAGAGAGAGAGAGATTTTCCCCTGAATAGAACCCACTGTGTTGAAGACTACAAGTAGGACTCGATCTACACCGTTAGATGATGGTGGGTGGTGATGATCACCATCTTAGGGAATCAATCAGTTCACTCCAAAGACGTTTAGATTGAACGAGAAAAAGTAGTTGGAATCTGATTTGTTGTCCCCTGCGATCAAGGACACTTGTTATGATCATACCGTATCTATGAGAAAGGCAATATCTTGTAGATTTTAATTTTGTAATAAATACATTAATATTTTAAATGAAACAATTATTGCATTTTGTTTTTTTAATACAAGTGGCTATTACATTAGTTTTTTTAAAATTATCTGTACAACATTTACAAACTAATTAATAATTCTTTATATAGTACGGGCATTATTAAAATAAAACAATTTTTTACAAAATAATTAAATATGTTATATAATTATTTTATATTTTACAAAAATATAATTACTATGAAATTAAATGTATGATTCTTTATATATATATATATATATATATATATATATATATAACAAAAAATTATTTTTTAAAATATTATTTGTAGTTATATATAGAGGTTGACAAATATAAAATTTATTTGTTATTATTATTATTATTATTTTAAAACCAATTTATAGTTTATTCTAAATGTGTGATAATGACTAATGCTAATTTCCGAAAAAATAGGTATTTGTTGCTGTAGAAGCTAAGTTTTGATACTGTACATTTTATAGCAAAAAAAGATATATCAGTCCTTTAAGTTGTGTTATCCCATCATTATAAATTTATGAATAAATTAACAAATATGAAATTCATAGTGATTGTTGATTAAAAAGGCCTACTTACTAAAATTGGATTTCTATGTAATTTATATTTAAATTTTGTTGAAAATTCATTAATTTATAATATCTTCCCCAATACGTATGCTCTGACAAAACATTTGTGTTATGTCTTTATGTGGCGCAAAGACAATCTTAAACAATTAATAATTAATAGTTAACAAACTATAATATATATCATTTACAATAATATCTTGAGTCTTAGTTCCTTTAAACACATTTTTTTACCTAAAAAAAAAAAAGTAAACGACTACTCAAAGCATGTTTGACAAAATATTTTAATTAATTTATAACTTATTTTCCTAAATAGATATATTTAAAAAAACTTATTTTAATTGTTTATAATATATTTTTTAGATGTTATTCGAAGCAACAATTTTATAACACATATTCTAAGGTTTTAATCTTTTTTATTATTATTTTGATAAAAAAAATTCTCTGATAGGTTCTTATTAATTTAAGAAAAAAAAATATTTTGAGATATCATAATAAAATATATTTAAGAAAATATTAAATTTTTATTTTAATTATTATACTATCTTTAGCATTATTGAAATATTTTTAGTATTACGTTATTTATTTTAATAATAAAATTAACATTAAATTTATAATAAAAATTAAAATGAATAATAAACCCAAAATAATAATTACCTACCAATATATGTTGTCTTCTATATACGTCATAGAATTTTTTAAGATGGGTAAATTTAAGGACAAATTAAGTTTAAATATTTTTCAATTAAGTATAAGTTATGAATGGAAGATCCTTTCATAATTTAAATAACACGATTTCTTGAACCTGCGAAAAAGAAAAGTGTATTAATTTATATTAACCTACTTGTACGTGGGTAGAAAACTCCCAATAAAAAAATGATATGCATAATTTTATGAAGTCAAAGAATTATGTTGACGGAGCTGAAGGCATACACAATTTATGAATTGTTAATTTTCTTTATTAAATTAGCTTTTATTAGTATCTACTTCCTCTAATGCATTTCAATTATTATTATAAATGTTTACAGTTTTTATTAATAGTATAATATATTGTATTGACAAATAATTTCATTTGCGCATATATATATATATATATATATATAAACTTTAATGTATTATATTATTCATTATGTTAAATATTAATATTTTTAAATTTAGAATATTTATTAGTTGTAGTGTTGTTGTTATTATTATTATTATTATTAACAAAAAAATTATTTATTAACTGACAAAAAATGTTAAGTATTAAAATTTGTTACCTTAATTTTTATTCACTAAAATATAAGTTATTGTCATAAATATTGTATAATTTGCATGTATTAATTTTTAATTTTTATTTTAAGTATTAAATATAATGTTATGTATCGATATTTGATATGTTAATAGCATGTATTAATTTTTAATTAATCAAATTATTTATTGGTATAATAAATTATACTATTAATATAAATTCACTGTACTTACAATAACATCATAATATATTTTTGTCAAAAGATTAATTACCCATCAATATTATGTATGGAGATTACTTCAATATCAAAACATTAACAAATGACATTTTTTTACTGTATAATACTGAACAAGTGAATATAGGTAAATTCTGATAAAGGTTTATAGTTGTTTTTTTTTTTTTCGGACGAGTAAATATAAAATATAGAAAGGGGAAAAAAGATAGAGGTTTCCTTGGGTTCAGCAGAAGACTATTTAAAAACACAATTAAGTAAACGATTTTTATTTTTAAGTAATCGCGACTTTCTTGTTTTGTATTTGAAAATATTCATATATGCAGAAACAGGTCCATCGACAGACTCGTAAATTCCTCTGTAAATTGCTAATAAAAAACTACATATTTTACTCTATTTTTTGTTGTCTGAATGATGCGTAGTTTATACTATCTTCAGACGTAGTGATAGTTTTATGGTCATTATTCAATTAAAAAAGGCCATAGAAAATATGCTTTACATAAAAGTTATAAATTTTGAAAAAAATATTGGCATAAAAAAGATAAAAATACCATATCTCTTACCTATGTGAGGAGGAGGGAAATACGAAGACACGTGGATGGAGGCGAGGAATGTGGTGGTGACAGCTTGGCAGATGGGGAAAATAGGGAGGGACAAGACAACCAATAGCAGCTCTTCAACATGTCAGGTAGACGTCAAAGATTCAGAACTGTCAACGTTCTATATCTATGTGGCCAGAGACACATCCACACTGCACATACGGAAACTTAGAATTTTTGTACTTTCTATTTCTTATATACAAAAATCGATAAATTATAATTTTATTTTCTCAAATTTAATAACTTCAACATTTAATGTTACATCTAAATAACCAATGATACTTCTTTTATTAATAATTAAATTATTGAATTTTAAATACATTTTTCATTATATTTTACAATAAATTTTAATTTAGTCTTTATAAAAATATTTATAGTTTTATTTTTAGATAAAAAATTATTTAACTTATTAATCAAAATTATTTTAGGTTCAATAACAAGAGTGTTTACGAGCTGATTTGGTTTAGATTGAAAAAAAAAGAACCAATAAAAATAGATTGATTTAATTTAATTTAAATTAGTGTAAAAAAATTTAAAAATTTAAACAAAATACAAACAAGTTAGTGTGATTTAGATTATCAGATTATTTAATTAAATAACCTAAAATAAAAAAGTATAAGAAAACAGAAAAAAAATTATATTTTTTTATTTAAATAATTTTTAATACATAATTTTAATATAACTATATAATATAATTAAACAATATTTCAACACAAATATATAAATTTAAAATAAGCCTTAATTCAAAACAAAAATAAATAAATTCTCTGCATATAAGGGTGTGTTTTTTTTTTTAAATAATATAAGTCAACGAATTAAGCAAATATTTCATATATAAAGTTGATATAATGTTAACTCGTTATCCAAATCAAACCACGTCAGATTAATTGATTTAGATTGATAGGAAGTTTTACATATTCAATTCTATGATATGAAAATGATAAAATAATTTATAGATTAAGATCATGTATATAATTATTTATTAGTAGTAATAATGGTCATACACTGTCGAAGATATTTGCATCATAAGAAAATACGGATTGTTCTCGCTTCAATTTAGCTTACTGGTTTAAATTTTTACAACTCGATAGATTCTCACAATATAAAAAAAGTGGAGTGACAATCCTTTCCATTCTCTCTAACCTTTCTTATTTTTTCAGAAAAACATTTAAAAAATCTCAACCTTTCTTTGATTTTTTTTCAAGTGTCAATTTAGATTATTTTTTAATTTAAATTGATTTATATCACTTAATTCATTAATTTATTTGATCCAATAAACACCTCTAGTTGGTAACGGTAAGTAATTGTTATTCTCCAATGTTCTTATGTCTATGGGACGAGGTGGTGTGATTCCTATGGGTGGGTGCACGTAACGCCCTATGGAGTACCAAGTTAAATTACGAACTTCAAACAAGAAGAAATTTCCTCCGAATTTATCATTTATTTGAATTTTTTTAATTTATTGGATGATTTAATAGGAAAAATATATATGCATTATTTTTCTTTCTTTTATTAAATCATTTAATAAATAAAAAATTTTCTTCCGATTTATTTACTCTAAAATAACAAGATTTCAAAAATAAGTAATACTTTTAATTGTATTTAAATAGGTAATTTAGACTTTGTTTAAGAATTTAAAAGAGAAGTGAAAAAAAGAGTTTGAAAAAAGAAGGAAAAGAGAGAAAAAGAAGAAAAGTGGAAAGATGGTAAATACTTATCTTATTTAGATGTTTAATATTAAGAGAGAAAAGGTATAAAAGTTTAAGTATATAAATAATATTATTATATTTTATATTTTATTATTTTTTTAAAAAATAAAAAAATATTTTTCTTAAAATTAATAATTTAAAAATTAATATTTTTATTTTTTATAATTTTTTTAAAAAGTTTTTACTTAAAATATTATTTTAAAAAAAGAGTTAAAATTCTAATAATATAATGAGAGAAAGAAAATCTAAAAAAAAAAAGTAAAAATTCAAAAAATTAAAGTTGAAAGGACTTTTTATAAGTTTAAAAAACTTTTAAATCTTCTCCTTCTAATT